AAAAAAAAGGAAAGAAAAAAAATTTTTTTTTTTTAATTAAAAAAAAAATGTACATATATATCTAGGAATTTCTCTGAGGTTGTTGCGGTCAGCGTAGGTTCAGTTCAATTTCAGATAGCTCCTCTTTCCAGCTTACACTTCTCGATATCTGTAGGCCCCTTCCCGTGTATTCGGTGTTACCTTCAGGGATTTTAATCTGTTGCACCGGTCCTTTCTGAAGCGGTTCCCTTTGTTTATTTGGCTTCTGTTTTCCAACTTTGAGAGTTCTTTGCAATTTTTTTTCACAATTGGTAGCTTCTTATCCTCTTACAGACACTTTTGCAAAGCAAAAGATTTTGATTTTGATTTGATTCACTTTATCAAGTTTTCCTTTTCTTTGTGGTGATTTTGGTACCCTTGTCAAATGTAATCTAGAAAGATTTTTTTTTCATATGATGATTTCCTAATTAAGTGACATGGTATTAGGATGCATAGAAAATAGACCTTTATTATTTAAGTTTGATTTTCCTTTTGAAAAAGGAATCTGAGAATGTTCAGTTCCAGTTTCAACTTTTTATCAACATCACCTCCTCTGCTTAACTCCTTTGATGTCACCATTTGTTCACTCATTTTAAAGTATGAAATTCAGCCAGGCTGGCTATTTAAAACCTGGGACAGAAAATGGTATAAATGAATTGCTAAAAAAGAGTAACTTTCACTTGAAGGCCAAAGCAAATCCATTTTCCCCCTAGATTTTGAAATTGCTTCCATTGTTTCCCCTCTACATTAGTACACTAAATAACATGCTGTAATAAGGCAGAGTATTATTTTTAAAAAATGATAGTCAAGAGTCACTAAATTGGTTCCTTTAAATTACAACTTCAATTTGACAAACACTGAACTCAAAGGATCAGAATTTTTTCTCTTAAAGGATTTTGTTCTGGGAGTAACACTGTAGGTACTTATCAACCCTTCACACCTTAGAGTAAATGAAGAACATGGTATGAATATTGATGAAAGGGATGGGATTATAAAAGTGAGAGAAAGAAGTGCCCAGAAGTGAAGAGCTGGGAAGGGAAGGGAAAAAATAAGAAAAAAAAAGTGGAGATTTAAGCTCACTAGCTTTAAAAGTTATGACTCACTCTCAATGAGTCATTAACTCTGAACTGTCATCAAGAGGACACAAAATCTTAGTGAAGAAGTGATGAGGAAAAGAAGAGTTCTCCACTCAGCCAAATAATTAAAGCAATACTATTACCACTGCCACTACTACTAATCACCATTTATTGAGCATATGCAGTGTATCAGACATGGTACCAGGGCTTTGAAAGCTTTATCTCTTTCAGTGATGCCAATGATCCTTTGAAACAGTATTTTACCCATTTGAGAAATGAGAAAATTTCAAATAAAAAGCATTGCATAATTGGCCCAAATGTATAGCTGCTAGGTGGTAGAATCAGGGTTCATACCCAGACCTGTCTGGCTGACTCAGGCATGATGTTTTCCCCACCATAAAACACTGGCTCTGTGCAGGTCCTTAATGGTGGTGGAAGCCTCCCTCCCCCCTAATCACACACGTCTGCCCTGACCTTCTAGTAGGGGCTGCTTTTCTGTATAGATAGTGCAACTGGTCTAAGGACAATGTCCTCCAATCTATTCTAAGAGGTGCCTGTGACCTCTGCCACACTGCCCACATCCTTCTGCTGCCACCTCCCATCCCCTGCTCTGAGCTTGTGCTCAGCCAGGAGCCTGAGACATTCATTCATACAAAGATGCCACCAGGGGCAAGTATATTTGTCAACTGCACTTTGAAGTGCACAAATATTTTTGTGTGCATTTATCAAGTACGGCCCTGTGTCAGGTGCAGTAGCCAGGGAAAAAAAGATGAATGAAACACAATCTCTGCCCTCAAGGAGGTCTAAGTCTAGTGCGGGAGAACTGTATGGTTCTGAAATGTTCATTGATGAAGACTTTCAAAGAAGAGGATGCCTGTATTTAAAGAAGGACAAGTCCTGATTTAGATTACATTAACGGCTTGAAAGCAACGAAGGGATTTCCACATGCCTGCGGAGCAAGCAGCAGCCTTCAGAGGAACTCTGGTCTCCCGAAGGTGAGGACAGAGGGAGCCTAGCCTTTGAGACCTGATCTAGTTCAGCAGCATCAGACGC